ACCAATTATATATATATATATATATATATAAGGTGGCCTGGGTGTTTCTTTTTTATATTGAGTATTTCGGCTCCATAGACGATTGGGTTTGTTTTGGATTTTGGGTATCTTGTAAGTTCTAGTATTATTTTAAGTTGGCTGATCATCCAGGGAGGTGTAATTGATAAAATTGATATATGGATCTGTGTTATGTCTATTTGGTTCTCCAGTATAGTCTCTTTCATATGTAAACTGAAAGACTTGGTAGAATCTTCCCTCTGCTGGAAAAGTTCAGTGTACTGTGGTTGAAAAGTATCATTGTAAGCTGGGTTTAGAGGGCAGGAAGATAGTTTTAAGTAGTATTGGAGAGTGAGTTTTTCACATTTTAGTCTTAGAGATGGTTTGTATGTTCTGTATATAAGCTTTCAACAGGAAATGTGTTATATGCTCCAAGGGTTAATGTAAGACATTGGTGGTGTATGGTATCTAATTCTTTCAAGTATGATTTCCTGGTTGCTTCACATATGAAGCAGCCTTAGTCCAGTTCGTTCCCTGTGGTCCGTTTGTTCAACTTATTGAGGCATATTTGGAGCTTCCTTTCTATAAAATTCATGTTTCTTGATCTATAGCAAATCAGGAAGTCATCTACATACAATGCACAATCTATCCCACTGTTAATGTTTTTGATGATGTCATTTATTTTTATTTTAAAGAGTGTGACAGATAATATGCTGTCATGGGACACTCCAATTTCTTGATCTTTTTACTAAGAGAAAATATCACCCATTCAGACTCTAAATCTTCTATCTTGGAGGAAGTTATTCATAAACACTGGCATTCTACTTTCTAGTCCAAGTTTTTTAAGGTCTTTTATTATGCCATATTTCCACATTATCTCATATGCCTTTTTGTGATTGAAAAATACTGCCACTAGATGCTCTTTTTTTAATAGAAGCCTCTCTGATAAATGTTTCTAATCAGATTAGGTGGTTTATAGAGCTTCTTTGGCTTCTAAATCCAGATTGATACCCACTGATCAGTTTGTTGGTTTCCAGATACCAGTTCAATCTGACTTTGATCATTCTCTCTAGTGTTTTGCAGATACAACTGGTAAGAGTAATGGGTCGGTAGTTTTTGCATTTGAATTATCTTTTAAAGTTATTGGTATAACCATGGTTTCTTTCCATATTTTTGGGATATTACTGCTGATCCATATGTTGTTATACATTTGTAGTAGGTAATTAATTGATGTCTTGGGTAATTTTTTTTAAGAATTGGTAATGTATTTTGTCTGGTCCAACAGCTGCATTGTGGGCCTTGTTGAGGGATTCTTGTAGTTCTCTTTTAGAGAAAGTTATATTTTTCAGTATTTTTGCTTTGAAATTTGATTTTTACTTTTTCTGCTTTAGCTTTAATTGTTTGAAACTTTTGGGTTTGGTTTTTGGAGAAAGTATCATCTAGATGGTTTACTATAGCTTTCTTGTCAGTAATCTTCACTTTATTGTGGATGAGATGTTTAATAGGGGTATTGTTATTTTTTGTATCACCAGCTATACCTTTTTTGGTTTAGTGTTACTATTTATTTTGGTAATGTAATTCTTCCATGTAGTTCTTCTGTAATTCATTAATGATTTTTCTGACTTTGGCTCTATTTTTATAGGTGTTGAGATTTTCTCCTGTTGGATTTATTTCAAATTTTTTTAGTGATGCTCTGCATAATCTCTCAGCTTTCTTGCATTGCTTGTTGAACCATGGCTTGTTGTGTTTTGAAAAGTTGGGACTTTTTGGTATATTTCTTTCAGCTATCTTAAATAGTGTGTTAGTAAAATATAAGATGTCATCTTCATTGTTTTTATTGGTTTCTGGGATTAATTTGGTAAGGCATGAATCCGTCCAGTTAGCTCTTTCCAAATTCCAGCTTTAAGTTCTTTTATTTAACTCATCTGATATGTCTTCTAGGAGAATCAGGAAGTGGTCACTCCCACATGTGTCATCATGAATTTTCCAGTAATAATCTATAAACAGGTTAAGGTCACATGTTGTTAAATCTATTGTAAGTGTTGCTGGATGCAGATATGTGTTTGATTTGTTGTTGTTCAAACACAACTGATATTTTTTTAGTATTGATTCTATTATTTTCCCCCCTTTTTTCAGTTTTCTTGCTTCCCCATATCTCATTATGACTGTTAAAGTCCCCCATTATAAGGAAGGGTCTTGGCAGTTGTTCTATTAATTTGCTAAGCTCTGATTCTTTGAGTTCTTCATTTGGTAGTATATATAATGATCACACTTTTATAGGTTTGTGGAGGGTTGCCGATACAGCGACTGCTTGCATATTTGTATTTAGTTTGATTGCGTTGTGTGGAATATTGTTTTTAATGATGACTGATGATCCACCACAAGCCCTATCTGTGTGCTGTTTAATATAATTATATGATTGATAATTTCTAATACTGATAGTATTGTTGTCTGGGGTGAGTTTCTTGAAGGCATATGATTGCCGGACAGTAGTATATAATAAGTAGCATCAATTCACTATAGTTGACCCTTGTTCCTCTAATATTCAATTGGATTATTTTATTGTCCGTGGGTATTTTGTTTTTCCTTCAGTGGTCTGTGGGACTTATTTTTAGTTTTGCTGGTTTGTGGAGTTTTATTTTCAATCTCCATTTCTTCAAATTCTTCAAGTTTGTTTGATGTGGTTATTGATGTGAATTGCATTTGTGTAGTTCTTTTAATCAGGTTTTGTTTTCTAATAGAAGTATCATTAGTTAATTTATTCTTATTTGTGCCTTTTTCAGTATCCGGAGGTTAATCTGGTGGTCTTTGCTGCCTTTCTTTTGCTAAAATTGTTTCTTTGGTAGTTTTAGAGTTTTTTCTATGGTTATTTCTGTATTGTCAAGTGTGCTGGTATCTAATTGTTTTGTTTTTGTATAGGGCTCGGTTTGTTTACTTCTGTTGAATGCAATTTTCTTGAAATCTTGGCCATTTGTTTGAGTTTAAATTTATCAGTTTTCAATAAGTTTTTGATATTTATTAGTTTGAATGTTGTCTAGAATTGTTTGGTTTGTCTTCTGTACTATGCTGGCATATATTTTGGTCCTCATATAGGTTTCCACAATTTTTCTTGCTTCAGGGAAGGATACATTTTTGGTATGTTTTACTTACAATTTTTTTCTCTTTTAAAGGTATTGCAGGTTTTGGAATAAGTGGTGTGTTCTCTGTAGCAGTTTGTGCATTTAAGTTTTCAGCACTCATATTCTGTATGGTTTGGGCCCCATTCACCACACTTTCTGCACACTTGGTGCCCTCTGCAAATGTCTTTATGATATCTAAATTTTTGGCATTTAAAGCACTGCAAAGGAGTTGGTAGGTAATTTTCTACCTTTTCTATAGTGTATCCAATTCTGATTTCCTTTGGTATTGTTGATTTATCAAATGTGAAGATATATGCATTGGTTTCTATGATGTCATCATTTCTTCTGATACTTACTCTTTTGTATTCTTTTACACACTGATTTTGCAAAGTGGTCTCCATTTCTTCTGGAGTTGCTAGTAAAAGATCTCAATTTCTTATAAGCCTTTGGATGTATTTAATTTTTCATGTGGACAGGCTTTACAGTTCAAGTTATGAAATTTCTTTATTTTCAGTAAATTCTCTGCATGTTTTTTTATTTTTAATTTCTACTGGTAGGATTCCATTTCAGAGTTTTTTCACATTTTCAATATCTGACTGATTAGAAATTACCTTTTCGATTAAAAAAGGTGAAAGTCGGTCTAGTTGCTTTTTGTCTAGAGATTTGAATAATAATGAATCTTGGGAATTCAGCTGTAGTTTCTGTTTCAGACTCAGAATCAGAGAGGTTTCTTTCGGGTTTTTTGTTTTGTCTTTCCATAATTCATGCAGAACTATTCACTGGTTCTGTGCTCCACTACCCACTGTGGAGTCTAACTTCTGTTGGGAATATACCAAGGGGGAATTCCAATCACCTTGATTGAAAAGGGGATACACAACCAGTATACTCGCACCAAGTACTGTTTTAAGTTGATGCCAGTTTCAGATTTAGCACCCAAGAACTAATATTGGTAGCATGAACCAGTGATCAAACTTTGGTTTCCTTGGTACTAGTGACCCTCAGCCTATGTCTTCTAGTGTTTTAAAGTTACAGCGGTCATGGATCAAAGACAGATCAAGTTGAATAATACATTTGGGATTAACTATTGTTGCTAGTGCATGTCGTGACCAGCCATTTGGTCAGATTGAGTCTCTCTGACCTCCTGTCTAGCCCAAGTAAGGGCCAAAGTGAGGTGTTGCAATTCACATGACCGCTTTTACCCGGGTCATGGAATGCTCAACCACCAGGATCCCATCCTCAGACATCACAGGTTACCCTAGATGGCAAACAGGTGACCTCATGAGGGACTTCTACCTCCTGCAGAGGTACAGTCAGCATATTTTGAAGCCCCGCTAACAGTGCCTGATACAGTTTAATATCTTACCCAGGACATGACTGCTTGAGAATAATAGGTGCTGTAAGCTTGGATGTATGGGTGGCGTAATGGAGAATTGTTAATCAGAGACCTCAGTTCTAATTCTAGTTGGATTCATCATATTCACTTACCTTCAAATACATTTAGGAAAGATATGAATCCGCCTCTTCTCCCCACCAGCTAGGTTAATTAATAAGGATTGTATCACTAAATCATTATTATCTCAAGAAAAAAAAAAGTTTACAATTTAAAAATATTTTCTGGCTTTAAATAACTTGCGAAAAACAAATCAGTCAAACAACATTATATATAAATATATTTAATGTATATATATATATATATATATATATATATATATATATTCATGTTTAAATCTTTGTTGATAGTTTTTTGTCTTAGATTATCTGTGCAGTCGTTTTTGACTAAAATATAACATTTATGAATACAAAAATATGCAATATAGCAAAATCATCAAAAGTGGTCCATGCTTTCCTTACTAAAAAAAAAAAAAAAAAAAAATTTTTTTTCACCTTTTCACCTCTTCTGCTGACTCAGCAATGAAGAATCCTTGAGTTGCTCTTTCAATTTTAATTTTTGGTCCAGGGTTGATTGCCAGTGAACTCTCTCTACTATCTCCAAGACGAGCCTCAATGGCTAGAAGAAGTAGTTTCAGTTTAGTAAAGCACAATCTAGAATAAATATGAAAACATCCATTTCAAAGCACAAGTTTGTTTTTTAAGATGAAAATTAAATAGTTTAGAGTATTAAAATATTCATATTACATGCATGCTAACATTGGGTTAATCAAAAAGTTAATTTTGTATTTGTTGTTAGATGGCAGTTTGATGGTTTAATTCTAAATATCTTCATATAAAAAGATCACTTTTGGTGACAGCTATCATATCTGTATATATTTCTTTTTAAAATTGGTCAAAATTGGTCTATGTTTTGCTTAATGATATTTGCATTGGTGGTGTAAGAAAACAAGCAAAATTTTTGCTATTATACTTTTCTAATTTATTCAAACTATTGTTCTTATCTTAGTTATATTTATTATTATAAATACAAGGTTTTGGCCAAGAACTCTCTAATCATTATCAGTTGTCCATCATTTTTGTTGATATATCTCTTGATTATTGTGAAAAATGAAATATTTTCATATTATTATTGCTATATTATATTATATTATTTGTTATAAATATTTTTATATTATTTTTAAAAAGTGTAGAACTGTAACTCAAATGCATATAAAAAATTGTGCAATTTATAGAGAAAGTATTTTGAATGGTCAAAATGTGGTTTGCAAAGTTTTGTGCTACAAAATTCTTACTGAACAATGCTCCAAGCTGGGGGAAACCAGTTACAGTTGATTGAGATTTTCATTTTTATCATAAAATTAAAATTTTGTAGTATTCATATTATGCATGCATTAACATAAATAAATAAAACAATATTTAAATAGATGTAACATTTTATTTGCCTAAAACTTTTATTTGATTCCTTTGACTACGTTTTGTGTGAGTGTGTGTATATGAAGAGGTGTTGAAAAGTTCTCAGCTCAACCAAGAAGAAATACAAAAGAATTTTGGTCAATTTTTGTCAAGTGGATTGGATTGAGGATTTTTTTTTATCTCCTCATATATTTATTCTTTATTATTTGCTATTTTATTCCCAAGAGAATGAGAGAGAGACATAGTGGAAAACTAAACAAATGTATCTTGTCAGTCTTTCTCAATGAAACATACTGCCTATACACAACTTATAATGGTCTATATATTGTGTTCAAGCATGAAACAGACTATTGTCACTTGCTGTTAATGCAATTCACTTTGCCAAAAATTTGTAAATGGTATGCTGTTCTGCTTAGCATTCATACTGGAAGCTCCATTACAAACACTTCAGTGTGTTTGGGTGTCAATCTGAGGACAGTGCAGAGGATTCAGAAAGAGTTGGATGAGTCTAATGGGGATTATGAAGGTACAGAAACTTGGAGAACTCACTCATAATTCTGATAAGGAAAGTACTCCCAAATTTGTTGGTGAGGGCCTCAGACTCAGCATAGCAGCCTACATCAAGTGACTTGGAAAGGTAGTGCTACCCTGGGCCAAGACAGTGGCTGCTGAAAGACTCTATGCCTGACAACAGGATTCTACACCATGCCACACAAGCAGGAGAACCCAGACATGGCTGTCAGACCATTTCTGTGACCACATCTAGCTACTTAACTCCCCAAGCTGCAATCCCCTTGATTATTATTTGTGGGGTGCAGTTGAGTGAGAGACCAAAAAAAAAAAAACCCCAAAAAAACCTTGTCACACCAAAGATGAACTGAAGGTAAGGATTATGGCAACATTCACTGTCCAGAAGAGTTGCAGGAGATTCTAAAGTCATCTGAATGGTGGGGTTGAAGCCAATGGCAATTTTATTGAATAAATTTACTTTGGTATTTCAAGATATTGTGTAATTTTAGTAAATATGTATGTTAAAATGAGATGTCAGTATTATTTTCATTTTCGCATAATTTAGACAAGAATTTATCCATCGCACCATGTGTGTGTGGGGGGAGTAATAATTCTTTGCAATGCAACAAATGTATAAGACTGAATTTTTTCTTTTTTAAAGTGAGTAAAAAATTGCACAGATCCAGACCCACCCTCTTGACATCTCTTTTGGGAAGCAGTAACAAAGTGGATTTCAAGATATCTGTTGATGGTTAAGTAGTAGTGAATGGTGAGACGTAGCTTTGATGTAAGAAACACCCTTCACTGCACATGTATACCCAACTAGTTTGAATTTTTCGGGATATTTTTCTTCTATCAATCTGGAATATACTTACTCAGCTGCTTCTGGAAATGTCATCCCATTGAAAGAACTGGACAGGTATTCTGTATACATTTCCATCGCTGTACCACGCATATAATCATTCTGCCACTGGGCCATATATGGTGACTGGAAAGAAAAATGTGACAAAGGAATTGTTTTATGAAATAGTACAAAACAAAAATTTAACGTGATAAAAACTGCCGATGCACTTTTTAAATATTGTTTGAAAATTCTGAGATGATTTCATAAACTGTTTGGATGAACCATCTTACTAGCTTTGGCCATCCTAAACTGAATAATTCATTTTATATAAATTTCTTAGAATAGATTCTAGAATTTCTATAGTTACCAGTAATTTATGGCTATGAAAAGAGGATTTATTCTGTGGGACAAGATTTTGATTTTAATATCAAGAATGGTAAAATATGGAACCTAAAACATATTGGCCCAGATACTAACATTTTCGGAATTCCATTTCTTGAAAATATGATGCATAATGCTTGTTTCATGGTTGAACTACTTTTGTTGGGGACCTATATTACTTTTGGTCAGCCTGAATACAAATTTATCAGCATTAACATGGGCATGATCCATATATATTTTATCCTAAGGTTGGGACTATTTAAGCCATGTATGTGTTTTTGTCTGTCTAAATTTTCTTCTTTCATTGCACATTTTACACCTTTTTATGTATTCTTCTATATCTATAGAATAGCTTGGCCACCATGCCTGTAGCCTTAATCTCCTTTGAGTAGAAGTTATTCTGCAATGAACATCATCATGTATACTCCTTTGCATTGCTGGTAGAAACACTACAGCTCCATTACAAATTACACCCTTTTTTACATTTAAAAAAAAAAAAAAAACACCTTTCTGCCTGTGATTATCTTTTATCCTGAATATACTGTTCAATATGGGATCTTGCTTTGTATCCTCAGTTAATTGACAAAATATCAGTTTCAACCCAGTGTAAGAAAGTATCTTCAAATTTTTCCTCCTCTTTCTCACTTTCTGAAGTAATAAACGTCAACCTCGACAAAGTGTCTACATGTGGAATAGTATTGCTTTCCACATACTCAATACCAAATCAAACACCATTAACATTATGTTCCATCTTAAAATTCTAGAAGATGTTACCTTAGGAAGTTCCTTCCTAGGATTAAATATGAATTCTAAAATCTATGGTCAGACCTTAGTAGGAATTTATTTCCAATGAGAAACTGATGAGCTTTATTTGTTGTCCATATTATGGCCAATGCTTCTTTCTCAATATTTGAATAGTTCAATTTTCTTGAAAGATACATAATAGGATGACCATCCTGAGCTTATATCCCTGAGATTGAGTGTTCACTTGCATCAGTTGCTACTACTATTTCCTTTCTAGGCTTTTTTGCCAGAACAGCTTTTAAATTTTCAAATGCCAATTGTTGTTCTTTTGTTTAAATAAATTTCATTTTTTTTTTAACGCAGAAAAATGTTCTGTCAAATTGAAGTATCACACTACATATCATCTGTAGAAATTTACAAGTCCTAAGAAAGATTCTAATTCTTTTTTGTTCTTAGGTACTTTAACTTTTAATATTTTGTCAATTAATCTTGATTTGCAGGTACTATGCCACAAATCACAATGCACGTAATCAGTCAGAAAAATAACTCACTCACCAATGAATGCAGTAACCAAAATACACAAATTTTGTCTTTCATCCCCAATTCAAGAACACCAACTGCTTTTATTAACCAAGCATTTTTTTTTTCATTCATCGACAACTCGGAGAGGACGCACAATATTAGTATATCAAAATACTTTTATGGTGACTCCTGCAACTGACTTGTTTCTAATTTGAATATTTTTATCTTCAGCATATCATGTAGAATATGTGCCCTTTATTTTTGGCAAGTAACTTTCTTTTTCGCCACATTTTCCACCGTAGGATACACGCAACACACTGTCGCTTAGTTTGATGAGATAATTCGACATTTTCTTCACTATAATTATATATAACATGACTTCTAACATTTAACCACTAAAAGTTTATTTGAAAATAAATTGCAAGGAAAAGATATTGAGCAAAAAGTGATTAATACCAAGAACATTGAAAGTCTAAAAATATAAATTGAATATACAATTGAACATCTAAAAATGTAAAAAGAACAGATTAATTAAATGGTTCATTGGCTTCTATTTTAATTGTGAATTCTTTATCTCTGCTTCATTGAAACTCATTACATTGTTCCATTCATTGCATCTCTATTAAAAATTTCTAACAATTACTGTTATTTTTGACAGCACAGATACACTAGTTTTAAAATCACTTGCTTCTCTTGAGATTATATTTTTCTTAAAATCCATCTTTACACATTTAAAAATAATACCAATATGTATCCTATTCTCTTTATTTACAATATGATGAACAACCTTTCAGCTATCAAATACGATCTCACACTATTAAATAAGTTATGGTAAATATTTCTAACAAAAAACGAAGTGAAATTCATATAGTATATTTATCCTATAAATATAGTATAGTCTTAAAATTTTACCAATATCCTTTGGTTCATAGAAATTTTATTGTGAAAATGTTGACTTAAAAAAAAAAAACTGAGTATATATGGAAAGAAAAAGATTGCATCAGGAATAAATTCATAAGATGAAGAATCTTATGGAATGTATACAGGTTAAAGGAAGCTTTATACATGAGCCTGACAAAAGATTAAGTAAACAAAGACAGTATGGAATTCAATGCTCTATAAGTACATACGCTTAGTAAACAAAAACTGCCAACAGTGCATCTAACAGCTGAAAAAAAAAACACAATATTGTCAGTATGCCTCTATTATACTGAATAAGTTCACACGTGTGGTACATTTGATTTGTAAATTATATCTGTCTTACAGGAATCTTTAATGTCAAGATCTATATCTATCTACAAAAAGAAACACATCTGGATGAATATCTGATTTCAAAACTGCTGTATGTTTCCAGTGTAAAATGTAAACTATCCACAAGTTAATTAAAAGAGGTAGTGAGAGTTTTAGAGTTTATACTTTCAAAGATAAAATCTCTAAGAAAACTTTGTTTTTTCTATATGCTATGTATTTTCAGGACATGAGCAATCATGGCTCTCCACAATTTCCTGTCCTTTGTAGCTCTTAGCATTAGTAAAGTTTGTCTTTTTGCTATCTCTTGTAATCCCTGTTATGCCAACCATTTGTACAACCTTGTTAGATGGGTTATTACTTGTTCTCCTATCTCTTTGTCTTCAACAAGTCCTGTGAGGGTCAAATTTTTTAAGCTCTCTTTCCTCATTATGGGCCTTAGAGTTTTCAATTGACTCTTTCTGGTTCTAGGTGTCCTTTTTGTTTCCATTTTCTCTAAAATTTTGTTATTGTTCACATGTTCAGTCAATGGTATTCTCAGCATCCTTCTGTAGAACCACATTTCTGTTGCCTCAAGTTTCTTTTCATCTGTGAAGAGATGGTCTAGCATTCACTGCCTTATAGGAGGACTGATATTACATAACAGTTCATTACTTTTTTCTTTGTTTCTAATGAAATTTTCCTGTTTCTTAATAGATTGCTTAGTTTTTGGAAGGCAACATTTACTATCTCAATCCACCTTTGGATTTCAATGTCATATTTCCTGCTCTCTTTTAAAATACTATATAAATATTTAAATTACAAGTAAAAACATCATTAGTCCCATGACTGGGCTTGGTTTTAGGGTTGCTGTACAGCTGAGCACCTGACTAGCTTAATCAACATGTCTCAGTAGGTATTCATTCATGCATTGCATGCCTTGGGCCCATCAATCACATGGTCAGATTACAACTTGAAGATTCCAACCTGAAGGCTTGTCTTGATCATAGACACCTGACCTTTGATTCCATCAGGGGAACTCTATGCCCTTGACTTCAGTCAAGAAGGCCCTATATCCAGTATAGCACTCATTTAAAAAAAAAAAAAAAAAAAAATGAAATTATCTTTTGATTCTCAAAATTTAAGAATTTGTTCCTAAAATAATTGTACTTTAAAGTTTTTTTAATGATTAATCCTTCCTTATGTGCAGCCTAATGGTTAACAGTATGGGATTGGTAAATTGAGACAGTCTGCATTCATTTTGCACTAATGCCTTTGGGAAAAAAAAGAACACACTTCTTCCCTTAACTATAGGTAAATAGCAGATCAGTTGCAGATCTTTAGTCTTATAAAGCAATCCATCTTGAGTGTTCAGTAACAGATCAGGTTAGTGATGGTTCCTGCTATCATTCAGCTTAGTACAATATATTGCATGTTGAATAGGAGATGTGCACTCCTAAGTATTTCCTATTTTCATAAGAGATGCCACTAAGGAGAATTACTCAGCATTGCACGCCAGTGTAATAGGTCATTAAATATTGTAACAGCTACATGTTTACAAAGTTGAATCAGTGAGTCAAGTTCAAATTCTAGGTTAATTAGTTGTGTTTGCTTTCATACTAATGCTTTTGGGAAAAGCATGAATTGATCTTTTCTCC